GCCGCCAAGAAAGCTGTTTACCTGAGACATTTAATGATTGGACTGAGTTTCATCGGTCTAGCCAACACAGACGTCTACGTCGACAACGGCGCTCGAAAACTGGCCGAGAACCCAGTATTCCACAATCGGACAAAGCATATCGATGTTCGTCACCATTTTGTTCGAGAAATCCTGGATGCGGGATGCCTGACAATTTCACACGTTGCAACTGAGGACATGGCCGCTGATGTACTGACGAAGGCATTAGGAGGACCCAAGCTCAAGAAATGTCTCGAGTGGTTGGGGCTATGTGCCATTAAAAGATCGTAATCCTCATATTGAGAGGAAATGTTAGTTATTGATTTCTTAGTATTTATCGGCAATTATGCGGATCAGCTTTTACTTTAGAGTTGGAAGTTTCTTTAGTTCTTTTCGGTTGGCAAGTCCTACTACTACCGTGTATTCTTCACGTTCCTTTTTCTTTTTTAGTTAGTCTATACGCGGTTATTGTCACGCACACATTTCGTGCTGTACCTTACAGTAGAATAAAGTCTACACTATTGCTCTATATACTTTGTTAGCACCTTTAATCACGATCCACGCAACCCTCAACAATTATATTCCACATATCCAAAATAAAATTAATAACTTCTTATTTTGAGAATAACAAGAATAATTAGTAATTTATACTGATATAAGTTTTCCTTTGTTACCATACGAGTATTACGATTTATCTGAGTCAGAGGAATATTTTCTTTTTTTGGATTTTTTATGTGCTTCTAACTCGAGAAAATTTTTCATCACACTTAAAAATTCATCACGCTGTTCTACTGCTCTCTTTCTTAACTCGTTTTGCTCTACTAACAATGTCTGAAATGATTCAAAACATTTATTTTCAAACTGTACATCTTGTTCGTGTAACTCTTTTAACACTGTGCTTACATTATCAATCTTTGGTTTTACCGATTTCTTAACGTTTTTGAAAATATTCAGACTCTTTACTTTATTATCTATGTTTTCTTTTATATCCTCTGACTCATTACCTAATTTATCTGAAAAGCTGTTATCTATGCTTTCATTATTTTTTGCCTCGTTACTGCAAGTGCCAGATACTGTTGTTGTTGAATCATCAAGAGAATCTAGTAAATTGACTTGTTGACTGCTGTGTTTTTCTCCAATAAGTTCGTGCATTTCATCAAAATATTTTGGTGGCTTTTTCTTTCCCGTACCAGTTATTTTCATGTAACGGCAATGTTCATGATACAATTTTTCCAAATTTCTCCAACGTTGATGACATTTGTCAGCCCCTTTCGTTCCACGAATTAAGTAACCATTATTTTGCATTTCTATTGCTATATCAGTCCAAATCTTTTTTTTAGAATGCATCTTGTCATTGAGAATATGCAATTTGGATTGTACAATTTCGAGTAGTTTTATTGTCATCTCATGACTAAACCCTAGAAATATTACAAAATATAACTTTGTAATATATATATATTTATGATTGTATTAAAAATAGATACCTACATATGAATTTTATATCTGATATACTCACTATCTTCACATGTTTCTGTTTTTTGTTCAATTAATGGTTCTCTCACGAGATTGTGCATCTTTTTCTACTTCATCTGTATGTATAACACAAAGAGGTAATGGAACTCAAATTTTAATAAACTTAATATTGAAATATATTCTTGCACAATATTATTAATAAAATAATGATATATATGATTAACTAATATCATTATAAAATAGTAACTTACTTATGTCATTCCTAGATGTTTCATGCGATGGTTTATCATCAAGAATTGTTAAAGCACCTGCTGTAATAAATATTACATTTCATTGAAAAATTTTAACTTAAATATCTTATCTTCTAAAATAATAAAATTTTGTATATAACATTTTTGTATACTTTTTTTGCAGTAATATATTAATTTCCCAAACTCATTTACAACCGGTTGACCATGATCGTCGGTACACAACAAAAAATCATTATTATCCATCATCTACGAGATTGTTTACAATCATTTAACTTTCTTCGTATTTCACGAATAACAGCTCGTACTACAAGGACCAATATATTTTTTCACAGCCAGCTAATCCTATCAGTCACGATGCTACTCGCAAGAAGGTTAAATCTCTCTTAGCAGCTTCTGCAGAAAACCTAACCTAACCACTTGCTGATTATTAATTGATAAATAATAAACATCAAATAATGTAACTTTTAAATACAAAGAAATCTTATGTAGCATTTTATAATATTTCAATCACTTATAGTGATCTTACTTATCCTTTCAGATCCATATTCTGCACTTTCTTGTATCGATAGAAGTTCATCTAAAAGTGGCGTGCAATCAATCAGAAAGCTTATAAGTTATTTTTAGAGACATTTATTGATAAAAAGTTTAAAATATGGACCTAAATGCAGAAGAAATTGACATAAAATATACCTTACAGCTCTATTTATTTTATATAAGGCGCCATATTGGCTACGTACCAGAGGTTTGAAAGAACAACTGTGCTCGCTAGCAAGGTATAGCTTGGTATATACCAGAGAAGTACCAAAATGGTTAGCCACGCCTTAATCACATAGTACCAAATACGCGAAAACGTCTTGGTATACTTTGGTACATCTTGGTATACGTATCAAACGATCGCCAAAAATCGCCTATTATAGACATTTTATAGATGTGTAAATATGCATCTTATAGTCGTCTATTTCGAGTGACATAAAAACGTTTAAACGACCAAATTTTTGACGTGATACATGAACCAGTGTTTTAGACGTTGATTCAATGTCTTTTCAACCAATCATTTCTCACTGGGGTAAGAAAAAAGAATTGTATTTTAATATGCTATACTTATTAGATCAAAGATGGAGGACATTTGCGCTACTTTGGTGTATCTAGAATTTTATTCTAAAGTAGCACACAGCACCTACAAAATACTAAAAAAGCACTAAAAAAATGTAAGCGCTTTATTAGCGGGGTTTACAATAGAAGTCGTAGCGGGCGTAGAGTCTTAAGTTGTAGAAAATTAATTAATCACAGTCCAATATGAGAAGAATAATCTATTATGATTGATGAATTTTCTACGACTTAAGACCTTACGACAGCTACGACTTCTATTGTAGATCCCGTATTACAGGCGCTGCTGTGCTACTTAATTGTAAAGTCACTAAATTTATAAAATATCGCAATTGATACGATAAAAATCGAGTAAACAAGCTCACATTATTTGTCGTCATTTTTAGATCATTTTGATGTAAAAAATAACGATAAATAACGTCAACTTGTTTGCAAGGTAAATCACAAAGGTAAATCACAAGGTAAATCACAAAAGTCACTTTTACATCAATTGTCGACGTCGTTATGATGTAACAATAATGACGTCAATAGACTTTGATATATGTTTGGAGTTTATGTTTTCATTTCTCGTTGATATCGGAAAAAATAGTACAACGATTAAGGACGATTAGGAATCACTCGTCTCTTTCTTTGATTGGCATTGACGCTAAAGCTTCTAACCAAACTAAGAGTGTTGTCGACATCAAACTTAGTCCGCATTTTTCATCTGATTTCGAATGTTCGGCCACCGCTCATATATTACAATAGTTAGCCTTACGTCTTCCATTCCATCGATGCATTTTTATCAAGTGTGGTGGCCGCATTTGAATGGCTTACAATTAGCCGACTCTGAGTTCTATCGACCAGGTTCTATTGATCTTGTTTTAGGAGCGGATGTCTACGGAGCTATTATACTAGAGGGATTAATCAAAGGGTCACTGAAATCTCCGATAGCTCAACGAACAGTATTCGGATGGATAATCTCAGGCCCTATGGGCCCTCAATGGAACCCTGAGAGTGCTCTAACTGCACATGTAAGAATAGAAGAGAATCTGTACTCACTTCTTCAAAGGTTCTGGGAACTGGAGGAAGTACCGTCTTCAAATGATCGATCCTTTCTACAGACGAGCAGGCCTGTGAGAACCACTTCCAGAATACCCATTCGAGAGACGTAGAAGGTAGATATGTTGTTAGACTTCCATTTAAGAAATCCGTAGAATATTTAGGTGATTCGAAGAAAAGGGCAACGTGTCTCATTCATAAATTAAATCAACGTTTCGAATCCAATCCTACTTATGCTAAAATGTATTCGGACTTTATAAAAGAGTACGCGCTATTGAAGCACATGGAATTGGTGCCGGACACCATGCCAGAGCCACCTCACGCTTTTTACTTGCCTCATCACGGGGTTCTAAGAGAAATCAGCCTCATTACAAAATTGCGAGTTGTTTTCAATGGTTCTAGTAAAACCACCTCGGGATTATCTCTAAACGATTTGCTACACGTCGGTCCTAAGTTATAAAATGACTTGTTTAACATCTTGATATGGTTCAGGCAATTTCGTTACGTGTTCTCTTTGGACATAGAGAAGATGTTCAGATAGATTAAGGTTCATCAGGAGGACTGGAGTTGTCAACGCATTTTATGGATAAATGAAAATAATTGTTTGTCGACTTATCAATTTACCACAGTGACCTACGGTCTGGCGTGTGTCCCATTCTTAGCATTGCGCGTTATTTCCCAATTATTGAAGGATGAAGGGCATCAATTTCCATTAGCAATTCCAGTGCTCTCTCAAGGCCGATATGTTAATGACCTTTTTGGAGGTGCTAATACAATTGAAAGGGCGCAAGCCATTATTCAATAAGTAAACTAGTTCTGCATGGCGGGCGGATTTCATTTACAGAAGTGGACTAGTGGAAGTGGACTAATCGTCCAGAAGTTTTAAACGTCATCCCGGAGAGAGACCGAATTTCACAACTTTCGGTGCCTATCGAAGAAAATCTAGTCGTGCATTCACTTGGATTGACTTGGCACCCGATATCTTCCGACCCAACCCTCGCAATCCGTCGATTAAGACACCTACGAAGAGGATTGTTCTTTCCACAATTGCCAAATTGTTTGATCCTCTCAGATTTCTTTCGCCGATCATTATATTAACTAAGATACTTATGCAAGAGATTTGGACATTGCGATTATAATGGGATGATCCACTCCCAGCGACTATAGCGATTAAGTGGGATTCATTTGTTAATAATTTACAAGATTTGTCCACACTTAGTTTTCCACGATGGCTAGATCTCGAATCTCATCAATCATTTGAAATACATGGATTTTCTGATGCATCTCCGCAGATCTATGCGACAGTAGCCTATAGTCGCTCTGTCTCTAGTAATGGAAGCATCCATACTCAACTTATTTGTTCTAAGACGAAAATCGCACCGTTGAAACGGATGACCATACCTCGTTTAGAGAACGACCCCTTGCTGGGGTCGTTCTTGTAATAAAAATGGTTAGGCATCTATTAACAATCTTAAATCAATATAATATTTCAATCTACTTATGGACTGATTCTACTGTTGCTTACACATGGATCACTAGACACCCCTCACGTTCGAAAGATTTTGTGCACAACAGGGTTTGTTTTATTCAGGAAGCCTTACCACAAGCACAATGGGGTCTTGTCTCAGGAAGAGAAAACCCTGCGGATCTGGCAACCAGGGGACTTACACCCATTCAGTTAGCTGAAAAGGAGTCTTGATGGAGCGGTCCCACTTGGTTGTTGGAGCCGTCACATTGTTGGCCTCAGAAGCTAACTTCCCTCGACAATGAGCAGGTATTTGAAGAACGACCTATTAAAATTTCGACAACACGTGTCGAACCAACTGAATGTTGGGATCTGTTACATAGATATCCCTCTTTAACGCGATTAGTTAGAATCACTGCCATATGTCAGCGCGCAATTAAACGATTTAAGAAGATTCCTAATTCCTCCTTGATTCACCCTATTACGACTACTGAGTTGCAGGATGTAAAACGCTTCTGGGTAAAGGTTGTACAGGCTTCTGCCTTCCAGCAGGACCTTAAGTTACTCTCCAGTAAAGGTTTGTTACCTTCTTCGCATCCTTTTAGTCGACTCACGCCCTTTAAAGATAATGAAGGTGTTTTACGAGTTGGAGACCGCCTTCAGGCCTCATTACTTAGTACAGAGGCTAAACATCCAACTATTCTTCCTAAGCATTCACCTTTGGTTATTGCCGACGCTCATATTCGGACCCTTTACGGGGGAACCCAGAGCACCTTATGTACTGTGAGGGAACAATTTTGGATAATAGGAGGGCGTGTTCCGATCCGAAGCCACATTCTCAAGTGCGTCAAATGCACGTTCTTCCATTTATGACCACCGGAATCGATTATGCCGGACCATTGTTGCTTAAAACCTGGCAGGGAAGGAACGCTCGAACTTATAAAGGTCATGTTGCACTTTTCGTATGCTTTTCGACTTCCGCAATATATCTTGAATTAGTTACTGACTACACAGCTGAAGCCTTTATGGCCGCTTACAAATGATTCACTAGACGCAGGGGAATCTGTGCTACCCTTTGGAGCGACTGCGGCACCAATTTTAAGGGTGCTGAAGTTACATTGCATCGACTATTCATTGAAGCAACAACCGAATCGCGACATCTCGCCGCTTTGTTGGCCAATGACGAAACGCAATAGAGATTCAATCCTCCATCGGTGCCCCACTTCGGTGGTAAATGGGAAGCGGGAGTCAAATCAGTAAAACACCACCTTCTTCGAGTAGTCGGAGAAACGTTGCTGACTTACGAAAAAATGACTACATATCTAATTCAAATCAAAGCAGTATTAAATTCGAGACCGCTGACTTCTTGCAATGACGATCCAAGCGATCTAAATGTATTGACTCCGGGTCACTTCCTAATGGGTTGTGCACCTACTGTTCTACCAGAACCTTCTCTGGAGGACGTGCAATTAACTCGCTTATCTAGATGGCAGCTAATTAGAAAGATGGTTGATTCCTTTTGGATTAGGTGGTCCAAGGAATATTTGCAACGCTATCACGCTATTTCAAAATGGCAACATCAGAAGGATGCGATCCGTGAGGGTACCGTGGTTCTGGTGGTTGACGAAAGATATCCTCCTGCCAAGTGGCCAATGGGAAGAGTTGTTGCAACCCGCCCAGACGAGGATGGGTTAGTTCGAGTTGCGACTGTTAAAACGCAAACGTCAATTTTAAGGAGACCTATTGTCAAACTATGTCCACTCTCGGTGTCGGTCGATACATTGTAGTTAATTCGTTAACTGTAGTTAACGAAGGCGGGCGGGATGTTTGGAGTTTATATTTTCATTTAAATCTCGCGTGTAGCGGGATATACGAAAGGGCATGCGTGCGAAAGCCCTTGCGGCGTGTAGTATCCGGCGTGGCGCTACGGTTTCTCTTCCTCGCTCACTGCTCGGGGATGATCGGTAGATCGCCATTACTGTTGCGTTTGATCACCATTACTGTTGCGTTTGCGGTAGATCGCCATTACGAGCGAGTTCGGTAGAGATCGCCAGGATTTCTATTGCGATATTGTGAGAAATCGCCAGAATTTTTATTACGGTATTGTGAGAAATCGCCAGGATTTCTATTGCGGCATTATGAGAGTTGCTAATTGCTGCACGTTCAGGAGACCAACCATGTTGCTTTTGTCATCTACCTTGCTAACGGAAGCTTATCGATAGAACGATGGTTCTAAACCTGGAGGTGTGCATCCATTGCACTAAGAAATAGCGCCAGGCTATTTCATACATCTAAATGAGTAAGTAAACGACACATTGCATCAGATGATTACAACTGTAAGTTCGTTGTTTAAGCTCATTGTTTAGATCAATAGATAGTTGCAATCTCCTGAGAGGAGATTTCTGAGTATTTGTCTCATAGCAGTGTCCGATTCGTAACTAGAGGACTAGCCAGGGTATCTGGGCCTTTACGGGCATCTGAAAATCGAAGGAAGAATAGACGGATTATCCTTGCCGAAGTCGAGACAAGTACTTATCCCTTGCTTTGCGGTGCCGGCATAATCAGTTTGAATGGGATAATACACTACGCTTAAGTTGTCAAACGCTCTGGATGCACACTCACCAGTCGATAAGTATTACCAAACCTCACAAAGTCATTTTGATTGTTGCAAAGTTGATGAAACGCTAAGCTAATATCAAACTCATAGTCAGAACCATTAGTCAATCTCTCTCCAATCGCGACGGAATACATTTGTCATTATCAAAACATGAGTTGAATAATTCCTTTCATATTTTGTTTATGCTTACTTTGCTACGATATGTTATAATAATTATGCTTAACATATGTTTATACTTACTATTATCATTTATGTATTATGTATGTCTCTCGTTTATCTTATGTGAGAGATACTTATCCTTCAATTGATATTCATTCATTTATTTGAAACCGATCATACTGCGTGAATAGATGAGTGGCGTTGTACTTTAATTGCATCATAGTTGTCGTCGCTGCATATTGTCGTTCATTGTTTAACTTAACCATAGTTTACGCTGTTCACGTATTTAATGGTTCTCATGTTATAATAATAATCTACATGAAAGTTTAATTTCTGCTTACTAATATCACAGCCTATATCTATAATTAAATTGTGACGATTGAAACTTTTGTGATTAATCTCTCCCGACCGACGTATTGGCGAACTGACGATTCGATCTCACGAACATAACAACATACGTTATCGCGACGTCTAAATGACGTCGATGACAAGTGACTGACGACATTTACAGGCTGAAAAAATGATGTCATTTTGACGTAACCATGGCTGTGTTCCAAATTTACTGCCAGCACTGAAAATGCTACAATTCACGTTATATGCACTATAGTACTAGTCACTTTTCAGTACTAGTAGTCAATTTTAGAACACCTTGTTAACTGGGATGTTGTAGTCGCACGAAACAGATGAATGTTATTTCTACAATATTCACCTTTCAACCTTTTTTTTAACTATTGAAAGATTCTAAAAAATCTAACAGTTACGCTGAATACCCTATAGAATTATATTCAAATACGGAAATTTACATATTTATAAAAAAAATTGAAAATTGAATATTCAATATTCAAAAATATTAGCATATAATTAAAACATAAGTCATAAGAATAAAAATCCATGTTAAAACATAAGTAAAAAGATATGTAAATTTTCAAAAAGATCAGTTTTTAATATTTAAAAAAATCATTTTTTCGGGTCACTAGAGAAAATATCCCTTAAGACTAACTGTAAATAGAAAATTTATTAAAACTCATGTTATATATATATATATATATAACACTTCATGCAGTATTTCTTTTCATCTTATAAGAAGTTCATTTTATATGAATTTCCTAAAAGATATTTATTTTTTATCTATCTATATTTTTTAAATATATCTTAATATTATGAGGTACTGTCCGGTAATATACGTAATTGTTTGGCGAGTCTTTTGCCTATTAATTTGGGATAAGTTTTTTGCTTGATAAGAAATTCTTTGCTCTGATGTGTTACCGCACCATTTTCTAATTGAAACCTGAAAGAAGGAACAGTTCTTCAAACGATTTTCGTCATTCATATACGATAAACTAATTATAAACTAATTTTTCATGTATTCTATTGAATATAATTACACAGGCCTGTGAAAATGAGATTTTGGAAAGTCCACTACGATGTAGGAGTGGTTTCTGACGTAATTTTTTGCGCTGAATCCGAATCTGATCACAGAAATTGTTTGGCACGTCAGGATATTGAGACATTCTGATCTAAAAATACAAAAAAGGTAGTTTTTTGACATTTTAAAATTAACAATAACTTTGAAACAATAACTTTGAGGACATCCGTTGATTTGGCCAATAGATTCGGATTCGTCATGAACAAATCTACAAAAATGCATACATATATTTTTCAAAATGGTCAAATATTTACAAGGTAAACCCTTAGATTAAGGAACACGTCTTCGATGGCCTTAACCTTGACACATGTTATAAAGGTGAAGGTACTGATCAACTTTTCTTTATAAATTAATCGGCAGTCTCTTATAGTTTCTAAGATATTTAGAATATAATTGGTAAATATCCTGTTTAGGGGAGCCCTCCCTAAAATGTAGTATTTACATTTTGGTACTACTACTTGTTTATCAGATATTAGAAGTGACTCTTACCCTACATCCCCTCCTGCTTAGGGGCGCGTGACTTCCATGTGAAACGACTTCCATTTCATTTCCCCCCCCCCCTGTTTAGGGGCGCGTGACTTCCACCCCATCTTTCTGCTGTCGGACGCACGACTTTTTACATTTTTATATAGTAACGCGAAGCGCCCTATGCGTTACTGTATGAAAACAAAAATTATATAAGAAAATAACGTTCTTCAAAGAAAATTTTTGTTTTTAAAACAGGAAATTTATTTTAAAGCAGAGAATTTTTTTCTATATAGTAAAATAGAAAAGAGACGTTATTTTTTTAAACTTTTCTTCTTAATAACTTTTTAATGAATAACGAACGACGACTAAAACCTGTTGGAAGTTACTCAGAGTCATGACCCTGACAACATATGTTAAGGTCATGACCCTGAGTAACCTCCAACAAGTTTTAGTCGTCGTTCGTTATTCATTAAAAAGTTATTAAGAAGAAAAGTTTAAAAAAATAACGTCTCTTTTCTATTTTACTATATAGAAAAAAATTCTCTGCTTTAAAATAAATTTCCTGTTTTAAAAACAAAAATTTTCTTTGAAGAACGTTATTTTCTTATATAATTTTTGTTTTCATACAGTAACGCATAGGGCGCTTCGCGTTACTATATAAAAATGTAAAAAGTCGTGCGTCCGACAGCAGAAAGATGGGGTGGAAGTCACGCGCCCCTAAACAGGGGGGGGGGGAAATGAAATGGAAGTCGTTTCACATGGAAGTCGCGCGCCCCTAAGCAGGAGGGGATGTAGGGTAAGAGTCACTTCTAATATCTGATAAACAAGTAGTAGTACCAAAATGTAAATACTAACTTGAAATAACTCTGATTTTCTATACAGGGTGTCCCATTTTAATGTCCCACTCCAAATAACTTTCTTATTTTTGATTTTAGAAAAAAATGTTTCAGACAAAAGTTGTATGGCTTTGAGGGGGACATAAGATGGTGTCATTAGTTTGACCTTAAATATGTAGTTACTTGAAGGTCACGTGAAGGTTACCTTCAATTTCTTAAATGGAAACCCTTATTTTTCATTGCATATTCTTGTAGCTTACCTCGAGAGCTTTCCAAAACACTATAATAAAATATTTTTCATCAAGTACTTTTTTAGTTATAATGCTCGAAAGTTACAGTACCTTCGGCATCTAGCATTATCCAAGGGTCCAACCGACAGCTAAAATCTCTTAAATGTTGTTTAGGACCATGAACTGGAATATTTATCAAAATTAAGGACATTGGAGGTTGTTCCTCTTATTTTCATTTTTACACCAAAAATTCATTTTAACGTAAATATTGGGTGTAGGAATAAGTTTCCGCCCTTTTTTAATGAAAAAGGTGTATTTATTCAAAACAATACAAAGTGAGTTTATTCAAAGTATGCTCTGTCGGAAGCGACAATTTTCTCCCACCTTTCCGGTAATAAACAGATTCCTCGAAGGAAGAAATCTGGTACTTTTGAAGCGATCCGTTCATCAAGCCATTTTTTGATACCTTCATAAGAATTGAATCGCTCTCCAGAAAGAGCCGACTGCATGGACCGGAACAAATGGAAATTTGAAGGAGCTATGTCTGGTGAATACGGCGGGTGGGGCAGAATTTTCCATTTCACTCCAAGTATTTCTTGACCGGTTTTGCAACGTGTGGCCTAGGATTGTCATGTAACCGAATCAGCTTGTCGTGCCTATTGTCCCATTTCGGTCGTTTTTCTTTCAAAGCTTGATTCAAATGTATCAGTTGTAGTCGATAATGATCGCCAGTGATGGTTTCGGATGGTTCCATCTTCAAATTTTGCATCTTCAAATTTTTTCGGTACACCTTCGCGTTCTTTGTCACGCACGTCGAAATCGCCATTGTTAAATCGCCGAAACCATTCTTTACAAATAGTATTCGATAGAGCATGCTCACTGTAAATATCTATGAGCAAACGATGCGTTTCCGCAGCACTTTTCTTTAAAATGAAATAATGGAGTAAAACTTTACACAAATGTTGCTTTTTTTGGAATAAATTCCAACATTTTCAACGCAAAAAAAGTTACTCTTATTTACGCTTCAAACGAATGCCAACTATTGAGCTCATAAGTTTGAATACACCTTTCAAAAACATGTATTGCCGTTTTATCAAACACACAAACAGTGCTACTAACATCTCTCTACAATGGGCGGAAACTTATTCCCATACCCAATATAATTATAATTTATAAGGAAAAGTTGATCAATACCTTCACCTTTATAACATATGTCAAGGTTAAGGTCATTTGAGAAGTGTCCCCTAATGTAAAAGTTTACCTTATTAATTTATATTTGTATTATTACAGTTATATAATTATAACGATTTTTTAAGCTTTGAATCGCCATATTGAATTCACCATCTTGAATGTTTAAATTTCGACTTTAAATTCATAATCAGCATCTCAAAAAACCATTTGATACAAAGTGTAAAAATAAATTAGTCCTATGAAGCGTTCGGTGCTTACCTACTAAAGAACGTGGAATATGTTAATATAATTTATTCCTGCAGTTGTAAATATTTGATCATTTCGAAAAATACATGAATGTATTTTTGCAGATTTTTTCATGACAAATCCGAATTTATTGTCTAAATCAACAATAGATATCTTCACGTTTCAAAGTTATTGTAATCTGAAGATGTAATCTGTCAAAAAAACGGCGCTTTTAGGTTAGAATATCTCAAAATCATGACGTGCTAGACAATTTCTGTGGCCAGGATTCAGCGCAAAAAATTTACGTCGGAAACTACTTCTATGTTTCAGTGAACAAATTTCGCAGGCCTGTGTTATTGATTTGTTATTTTTCCATTTTTGTCTTTTTTCTTCAATTGTATGGAAGTGTATTTATTCTGAGTTTTCCATATAATGGCTATATTTGAAAGGAACTTGTATACTTGCCTACACAAATAATGTAATGGACCCAGCATCTTCTTTCTCAGTTCGGGATCGCCTTCCAGAATCGAAAGCGCACTTGCTCCTGTTTCTAACGTCGAGAGACAGCCTTCTGTTGGCTGTGTCCTGATCACGTATTCACTAGTCGGCACTCCGATCAGTTTGCAAGCTCGCAGAAAATACAGAGCTGGGCTCGAGTGATATATCGCCTGCAGGATAACGATAAACATAGAAAAATTTAGTAATTTATCGTATTGTCTTATTATTTTTTGGCATACTATATCCTTTTTAAAAATTTAAATTAGTAATCATATATCACATATTTAAACATTAATAAATTAATCTAGATCGTTAAATAAATCAAATAAATAATTAAAGTCAATATAATCGAGACTAGACCTCGGTGCCTAATAATATTTAATATGTAAATTCTAAATATATTTGTATAAAGTGTGTGCTACTTACTGTAGTTTTATTTTAGCTTTAGTTTGATTATGTTTCAAGTTTCCGACAGTACCGCATAATTTATACAAGTGAAAAATGAGTAAACAAAGATTTAGCTTCGATGACCTTGCTCTTGACATATGTTGTTAAGGTCATGACCCTGAGTGACCTCCAAGAGGATTTAGTTGTGGTTACTTCTTAAAAAGCTATTGATAAAAAAGTTTACTGCTTTGTATTTAAAAATATCTGGAGACACGATAGTGTCTCAGCGTTAA